AACATGAAACTATTAAATTCTAAGAGTATTTAGAATTTCTTGATCAAAGATAGGCTCATTTTAAAATTATTTTGCGACATTACTATTGAACTGAATTTTATGGTTTAAGTACAAAGAACATGATATTTAATAAATAAAGGTAACGCACAAAACGTTAATAAAAGCCCCTTTGGACGTAATTTAAAATCTGATTTCAGACTTTTTTTATATTATCTTGTACTTTATTCTAATTTATTACATATTTACTTCGCTAAATACTTCCCTTACGATAATATAAGAAAAATCTAAATCTCTTTGCCTATCACTTTGCATATATGGTAAAAATTTTAAAGTATCATTCAGATGATGAAAATTATGATTATGTAGTTGGTGATCGTATGCGTGAAATTTAAGAAATCCTTTAACTATACTTTGCGAAATAATAAATTCAATGAAGCACTTAAAGTAAAAAGTAGTTTTTACCCCAATTCCTAACACTCCAAATTCAGTGGAAGTATTCTAATCGAGAAAAATTTCGGGTATCACATTTCAACAGAAATATCCATTTTTATCGTTCCCAAACCCATTTAAACGCTTGTTTTTATTGTCATGTCTGTAAGTGAGCACAGAATAAAGGATTCTTCTTCTCAAAACGTAATGTAAAATGGATTTAAAACGGATTCTAGAGGGAATTTTTTCATGACGTCTTTACGTGAGTACGTACATAAGTAGTATGTATTATGTACATCGCATAACGGGGAAACAACTAATCGTAGAATGTTGAAATTCTGTGTATGTGACTAGTTTTATACTTCGTGTTACAGAAATGTTTTAAATGCGAAAATATCCAAGTTTTGGCAAAGTCAAATTTTTAAAAATTTTATTTTGGAAAAACAGCGAAATATAATTTTTAGTGCCGTCTATAGGTTCCTAAACTTATATTTGGTAACGCTTTATACTCGTTATGAAAAAATAAATAAGTACAAGAAAAAAGTACAAAACAGAAATTAAAATCTGAAAAATTTCAGATTTTAAATTACGTCTAAAGGGGCTTTTTTAACATTTTGTCTGTTACCTTTATATATTAAATATCACGCTATTCTCACTTAAACCCTAAAATTCATTTTAACAGGTATATCGCAAAATAGTTTTAAATTGAGCATATCTTTAGAATTTCCGATAGAGAGTCTCGCACGCTGGAGATAAAAAATTTTTTTCTGAACAACGTTGCCATTGCTAGCTTTGAAATCCTTGAGTTTGTTAATCAAAAATTCGTTAAAGTTTTACAAAATATGAAATCAATAATAAAAGAAATTCCAAATTTCGGCTTCCACATGCCACACACAAGTGATCAAGTGTATTCGCAGTAGGATTAAATTCAAAATTCGATGGCTCTAGGTACCGTTGTTTTATCACAGTGCGAGAAATATAGATATATTTATACGGATTTTTTATTATTTAATTTCTTCAAATATAATGCAGGAGTCTAACATTTGGTGGCAAGAGTTGGAAAAGTGAAACGGACATTTATAGTGAACCAACGCAAAATCGCAAAACGAAAACAATAGTCCTCCAGGGAACAAAGCCCCTTAGGACTCATAAGTTTGATTCCCCTACCACAAAAATTAAACGGTTATTTAAGTTCAAAATTTGCAATACTTATGTTATTTTCAACTTGGTTTGAGGTATCTGTTAATTATGATATAATAATTCGAGGAATAAGTTTAAGTGAAGTGCAATCAAAACTATGTATAATTTTAATTTGCTACAAGGAATTTATGTCCACATCAGATTTTTTATTGTTAGAATAAAATGGCAAAACGTTCAAACTAAAAAGGGAATTTTGGTGGCTATTAAAAGTTGAAGTTAAAGTTTTTACCTTATAGATATATACATGTATATTGTTATTATTCCATGCATACATTATTTTCTTCTTTGGCGCTTTTTTCTTTCTGATCACCATTCTTTTTTTTCAATAAAAATGCTAAAATATTTGAAAAACATTATACTAAAGTATTATTATGTAGATGAAATTATTATTTAGGAAAAAAACTAAATATTTTCTATCAAATTTTGTTCAATAATTATTTTAAAATGAAGGACAAAATGTACATTAACAAGTGATCAAGTGTTATTGGATAAATCAAACAACAAGAATCAGCGTAAATCTGTAAAGTTTGTAAATTTGTTTGACTTCTTCAATAATCAGTATTCGGCGTGTTATTTTAACTTAAAAAAGTGATCAAGTCCTATTATAAACACAATAATTCTTTTTTAGCTGCAAAATAATTACGTCTTTAAACCAGAATTATGACATAACATAAAAAGGCAGAAGTAAAAGCAATGTTTTCGTTATTCAGCTAAAATTAATGTATGAGATACAAAATCCTGGTTTAACAAACATGAGAATTTAAGCGAATGATAAAAAATCATTATTTATTGATACTTGAATAAATTTTATATTTTAAAGTTGTGTATAATTAGTAAATTTGCAATCTAATAGAACAAAGAATGCCAAAATATTAAGAAGGATAAATCTTTTTATTGAGGTGAGGCAAAATCAAATCTTCATCAAATGAACATCATAAGATATAATATCTTGTTGAAATAATGAACAGATATTTAATGTTTTTCGGCAATGTATAAAAAAAGAAAAAAAATATTGAATAATTTAAAGAAAATGGTGTTTGAAAAGTGAAATTAATGTTTAGAGAATTTTAAACGATGAACAAATTCAAAATGCGGTAGATTAGCCTAACAGCTCACAGGATAATTTAACGCTCAGGCAAGGCTCTGGTTTTGCAGAAAGTTGGGTAGATAAAGCTAAATGGCTATAAGCACTCAACGCCACTAAATCAAGTCGCTAATAATCACGGCACAACGTGGTCTGGAATAAGCAGACACGCTCTAAAACTAATTTCTGAAACTTTTGCTTAAATAGCATTTTCTTCTACCTTAATCTGAATAAACGCTCGCTGTCTTATTTACAATTTGGCATAAAAAGCGTGGACATTAATAAGAAAGGGCTAACTTAAAATAATCTATTAACTAAAAATAAATAGACAAACCTCACAAGTTATTGAACTTACTTTAGGAAAAAATGTGGATAGAAAAATGTAATATTAAAACAAGATGTACCATATTCAATTAGACAGAACTCAGAAGTTATAACACGATTAGAAATGAAACTTTTCAAATGCTCTGTTATCCAATCATATTTTTAAATTAATTTAAAATTATCAGAATGAAAACAGGTAATAAGCATAATTTTGTTTTGCATGAAATTGCACAGGCATTTATAATTTGAGTTTGTGATTTTGGTTGCGAAATATCTTACGAAATTTTAGCTGTTACAATAGTTCTTCAAATTTGTTTCACATTTATATGATAGTATGAACGTACTACACATACGCGATTTACGCGATGACTCCAAACCAAAATAATTGAGTATTGAGAGGAATAACTTTAATTTTACCCTTAAACGAGTAGAAAGAGCTTTAAAAAACGGCAGGTTAAAAAAAGCAAGCAGTGGTTTTTTCCCTGTTTTCTAATATGTTATATAGGCATTATTCAGTATTAGTTGTTGTATAGAAATAAAATCGTTCACATCTTACTTCACCACTTCTTGAAAAGATTACAGTATAAACACAACAAACGAGCAAAAACAAATTAAATATATAATCTGAAGGGGTTTAGATTTTAACGATTACCTAAAAAAGCTATTTTAAAATTTAATACGGTTATCATTAGAGATTATCAATAGAGATGTCTCACGTAGAATAACGGAACATTTTGTAGAATATTAGATGAACATGGATTTAGACTAACATGGAAACGGTATATATCTTCGGTACATTTAAAAAGTAAAAACAAGTATGCAATATAATTCCATAAAAATATTTAATAATTTTAATTAAATATATCATGAATTAAATGCATTTTTATTTAACTAAACCAGATTAAAAATCTTAAAAAATACTGAGACCTGTAGCTATTCTTTTTAAATACTTTAATTTTTTAACTAATAGCAGACAAATTAAATGCAAAAGAATATCTTACGATTCTCCGAACGGCAATAGACTGGAATGAAAAGTGAAATGGCGCATTAAAATGAAAAACGAAAAATTCGTGGTTTTTTTGGTTCAAAATAAAAATTTCAGGCATTGCATCCATTAATGAACAGTTTAGTTTCATTAGAAATGTTAAATCATTAAATTAAATTTCTTTTATTGATTTCTGAAATAAATCATTTAACTTCCTTTAGGAAAATCTCTAGATAGAAAAATGTAATATTAAGAAAAAGTTGTACATTCAAATATAGAGAACCACAAAAATTAAGTATATAATACAGCTAGAAATGAAACTTTTTAAAATATTCTCTCACTCAATCATATTTTAAAATTAAATTATTTAATTAAAGTTATGGCGATTGAAAATATATAATGAGAAATTTTACTTGTGATTTTGGCTGCAAAATATCTTAGGAATTTACGAAATTTTATCTCTTATAATAATTCCTCCATTGGTATTTCACATTTATATGATAATATGTACACTACTCATATATTAGGTACGTGTTTATGCAGTGACTTAATGAAATAATGCAGTTTTAAGACGAATAACTTAAATTATTATCATAATAGGAGCAGAAATATCTTTAAGAAATGACAGATAAAAAAAGCAAGCACGTGTTTTTTTTCCTCTTTCGAATGCGAATATATAGGTCAGTCAGTTTGAAAGAGTATTGTAAAAATAATAAATCTGTGTACATTAGAATTCTGTAAATGTGGATCTACTCTTCAACTTAACATCCTATTCATATTCGATACATTTTTACCATAGTATTCATGTTACGCACATATTTTTTATCTTTCTTTCTGAATATGTTTATAAACCACATAGTACTGTCACGATATGATTCGTTAAAGATTGCCATGTTATGAGACGTGATATAAGTGCCATGATATGAATTCCAGTTGCTTACAACTGTAATTCAATATAAAATAATGAATGGGGTTTACCTTGCTAAGATGTTGTCCAACTCGATCCCTAGCGTGACCATCATAAGTTATTGAAATTGAAAATAGCAATAAAGTTTGTCGTCTTACGAGGCCGATGTCTTATCATTCTTTTACGACCATATAACTAAATATAAGTATGTGCACAACTATAGGACGTACGCTAAGAAGACGACGATGCTTCACTGGAGGCAATAACCATTTACTGATGGTCTTCATTGCTGGTCGTTGGGATACTATGGACCAGTCCGACTACAGAAGTTATCTTGAGAGCTACCGGTGCCATTGTAGAAGAACACCTGGAGACAGAGGCACGTGTATAGAACTTGCTTCAGTGCTATCCCCTTCCGGCCCGCAGTTCAGATAGCTTTCCTTCGGCATGATAAAGAACGGAGTAAGAAACGGTACGGAAATTCAAAGCATCCACTGTGAGAGGCCAAGAAGTTTCGATGATGAGATGAGCATTAAGAAATTTACTATTCTGCGAAGCTTAAACAGTAGAAGAGGAGAAGACCTCCATGGCCGGATCTAACGGAATTCTTCTAAAGAATGTCTAAAATGGCGACTCTGTTTGATTGCTAGAAATACGTAATGCGAAGGAGCAAATATCAAGCATAGTTTAAGTACTGAGATACATTCTATAGAGCTCTATATTCTAAACAAGTGCATCGAAGATAATATATATTAAAACTAACTTTTCTTAGTGTAGAGCTGTAGATAACTTCGTGAAGTAAAGAACTTGGACTCTTCGTGGAAGAAAGAAAATAACAGTAGTAGTCTATGCTAAGTGTGAAATTACTCCTTACTTTCAAGAAGACATTAAGGACGGTAAGCAGCGAAAAAAAAGTTTGCCTGGAATCCGCTGGGAATAGTCCATGGTGGCAAGACGATTCTCGGAATGAGTGTAGAAGTATCCCGCGTTCACTTTGTTTCCATAGCGAAGGCAAGAGTTGAGCAGCGATGCCAGAGAGAATGGAAAAAACTTTTACACCACTTGAGACGAGGGCAGCAGAACCGGATTTCTAGAGCACCACGAAAGTCAACACTCATTGAGACCACCCCCGAACGAAGAGTTCGGGACCGGAGTAGAACGGGAACAAAAACAAAATAAAACAAATCCCCTTTTCGGTTGTTGTTGTTAAGGGGTGTCCGGTCCAAGCGGCAAGCTCCTCGCGTTATCGCTCCCCACTGAAGAGCCCTATCCTGACGCGCACTGCAGACGTTCGGGTAGAGGTAGACGCTCTTCTAACCCTGCTTGAATGCTACGATATTGATCGAGGTGGAGAAATCCATTGCAGCCTGTATAGTAGTTCCGCTCTTACCAAAACTCGCCCGTATCCTCCACAACTGATTGATACCAGTGCACAATGGGCGATTTATGGGATGACGATACCTTTAAATAATTTATTTATTTATTTACTGCAGACTCCGGAGGGGGGGGGGGAATCTGGATCCGAGGAAAATTCCGATGAATGCATTGAGTCTTTTGTTTTCACTCCTGATGCCTTGTTTGTTTTCTTTTTCTAACTTTTTATGTATTCCTTTCTAAAGCGAAGTAACCAATCCGGACGGTTACCGTACAGTCGCCGCACTGAAATTATACGCGAGGGTCTCTATGGTTACACTTGCAAACAGAATGGAATAAAGAATCCCCTTTGAATGTCTGTGTGGATGCTTTCTGGGTTTTTACATAAAAAAAAGGTTGACTTGGAAGTTTAGTGATTCAAGACTATTTTATTTGTTTGTTTATTTCCCAATTAAATTCCTCTTAAACATTGGATATGGTATTATGGTAGAGAAATGTTTAATTTCTTAACTGCTATTTAATGTTACAGTTTTTATTTACACAAAAATAAAAAGCGGGATTTGAAATATCACATGGAAATAAATTTTGAAATTTTTGGAGAAAAACTACAATTTGAATCTGAACCATACTACTTCTAATTTTTAAAATTTTTAATAATACATTGGTTTTAAATTAGTTTCGGTACTAATTTTAAGAAAATTAAAAAATATTATTATTTGAATATCTAAAACATTAAAAATTAGCTCTAGTAAAATGCAGGTTTCTTTAAAATCATTTTCAATAATTGAGTAATAATAATCAACTATGTTATATTAATTTATAATGCTCGGAAAATGTACATTTTAAAAGTTTGGTTTGATTTTATGAAATCATGGCAAGCGTCTCGAGAGCTATCTTCCTAAAAAGACAGATGCCTTCGTGCAGGACTTTCTAAGGAAAACTGGCTCGGATACATGTTACACATAGAGAAAACCACGAATGTACATTTTAAAGTAAAGTGAAAATTTTCATATAGAATTTTGATAGATGTCCGACTCACAGAAATTCTGTAAATTACAAACTTTATTCGTTCAAAAATCTGCATTTTTTATCACAGCTGTAAATTTTATCCTGTGAGACATTCATCTAGGGAATTAATTATGGAATTCAAATTTCATAAATGGTTAAACAATAATAATATTTTTAATAAACTTAATCATAATTAATGATTAAGTTCTTAATGGTTTATACATCAACACATACATGCTTATATAATAATAATAATAATAATAATAATAATAATAATAATAATTTAAAGGAAAGCTGTAGTCCTCATGCACTAAACGTTGCTACTTGTAAAGAATTAAGGTAATTAATCTTTATAAACTTCTGGTAAAGCAAGAAAAAAGTATAAAATAAAAACAAAGGCGAAAAACATAATAACCGTCCCCCCCCCGAAAAAAAAGAAACTGATATAGACACCACATGATTTCCTTGTACGGCCAATTAAGTTACACAAGACATTTTTTGCTGCACTTTAAACTTATTTCCTCGAATTATTATAACTTAATTAACCGCAAGGCAAACTGAAAATGACATCAAAAATTGGAAATTTTTAAATAATTTTTGTTGTACGGGAGTCACACTTCTAATTTAATTTTTTCATAATAAGTAGAAAACTTCCCCAAATATAATTACGCCAGCCGGGAAATTGCATTAAAAGTTAGATTTCTTTATTTGCTGAAAAAATTCTTTTCTTTTTCAAATTTGACATTGCCAAAACATTAAAATTTTTATCATTTGAAGCACTTCTGTAATTAGAAGTAAAATGACTGCGACCAACGATTGTGAAAATAAAGGCCTGTTAAGTACTTTTAAAAGGGTAAGGGGAAAACATATATGTTTGGTTCTGCGGATTGCAATAGAAAATGAAGGTGGGCAACTAAATGTAATAGCAATCCCATATATCAAATTTCAACGTTCTTACTTCTAATCGTTTTTTTGAGTTATACGAGATAAATACGTACGTGCGTACAGAGATAAACGTGACGAAAAAAAGTCTATTATTAATCCATTTTAAAGTCATTTTATAATCCTTTTTGGAAGAAACATTCCTTTATTCTATACGTAAAAAGGGGGGGAGGAACCACCAAAATAGATATTTCCGTTCGCGGTTATACTTCCTGTACTTCGCACAAAGAAGTGAAAAGCATATAAGAAATTCAAGGAGGCAAATGAGAACAAAACCAGTGTAAAAAGCTTACAATATAGAGGACATGTAAAACACACAACTTTAATTGAACCAATGACTCACTGTAATTGAAGTAAGTATTAATGACTTATCGGCTCAAAATGTGTAGTGAACTACATAAAGAATTTTTAAAAACAATTATCTGTCTTTTCTTCTTCTTCAGAGAAGTCGCGATAAAAACCAATTAATTCATTTATACAAATGCCAGAAATTTGGCCACTAAGCCACTAGTCTTGCTCTTGCTTCCTAATACTTAAGAACAACAGAATTAAAAGATAATAATGCAGGCATTCGTCAATATGTTCCTTATCCACGGATTGTCCAGAACTACAAAGAGTACAGACAGAAGGATGCTAAAGTCAAATTTTAAAAAGATGGGCATTCAGATAATCGTATCCAGCCAAAAGACAAAATAACGCTATGGCTACAGGACGAGAAAAATCCGGAATAACTGGCTTTGAGCTGGTGAGACACAGGCCTTTCGCTTAGTTTGACTCGATAGGTAGGAGGCAAATCGCTTCTTAAATTCTAATTTAATTAGGTTAGTGGTTTGTAGAATAGTCGTTCCTTTATTTGATAGTAAATTGGCTCTTTCATTTCCCTCGATGCTACAACAAGCAGGAATCCACTGCAAAAAAATCGAGTCAGCCAGAGTGTTGAAAATCTTCCTACATTCGTAAATTCGGTCAACAACAATATTGGCATGCTCTGCTCCATGTGGCCTTTATGGTCCGTACTGCAGATCCAACTCCCACTCAGAACCAGGCGCGGAGGTTCAACCTCCGCTCTGGCCCCTCAGAGGGGCTGGCACAACACCTGGGGCACTGGCAGGCTTCCAGCACTGGTTGTTACATTTTCTACCTGCCAGTCGGGCTACCCGTTGCAGTGGGGCATTACCCAGGAAACCAGGGATCGCTACCCCCTGGCTACTAGAGCTGTATCGCTCAGGACGTGCCAGAGACCGAAGCCGGCCAATAAGTGACTTTTCCCAGGGCCTTCAGAACCACCAACCTAGCAAGTAGCTTCGCAGAGTTCTCTACATCGACCCCCAAGGGAGGTCCTAAATTCGTTCGGACGTGGAAAATTTATTGTTGAATGTAGCCTGCAAAGCGGCTTTGCTGTCGGACAAAATAACAGCCGGAGAGAAATAACTCTTCCGAGCGCTTAATTGATTCAAAGCAATAAATATAGCCTCAGCTTGACCATCAAAATTAATTGTATCCTTTCCCACCTAACTTATCGAATGCAAAATGGTTACAAATAATTCCTACACCAGCTCCAGTACCTCAGTCATAGATTCGTTGGTGTAAAGATGGGTGCAGGGGTTGCTGGCATGTTTTCTCTCAATAGTTTAATAACCAATGGCTCTGATCTGGGCAGTGGTAACTCGCTCTTATTAGTTTTTCCGTCAAGATCAAGCTATACACAGAAGTCACCGTATTCAAAAGGTACAGTCGTTACATTCATTTCTCGAACAAGGTCTGGGTCTTCTGCTAATTGGTAACCAATTTGATTGAAACCCACTTGTGCCTTTAAATTTCTATCATTGTTAAAATTGTAATTCCTCTAAAATTTATTATTTGGGAGCCTACAAAGTTTTTGAAACAAAATTGCAGCATTTTTACGAATGTCATGCGTGATAGGAGAAATAATGGTGAACGCTTCCATAGCCGCTATAGGTGTGGATTAAATTGCACCTGTTATTAGGCGAAGGGATTGGTTTTGTAATCTTACCAAAACGTCGACTTTACTGATGGAAGCTTGTAAGGATCTTAAGTTTTACTAACGTTTATTTTTATTTTAAATCTTTACTATCACTTCTTATTTTCTACTTCCGGCCAGAATTATAAGCGTTAAGGTTTTTATGCAAAGTTGTCTGGCGAACGCCAAGTATTTAAGTTGTGGCTTTTTGCCAAGCGAGAGAGAGGAAGCAGTTGAGTCAAAGCAGGCCGCTTACCTTAGAAGTTACGCAGTTGCTGTTTGCCTTCCAGGCCAGAGGTTTTAATACTCTGATAAATTTTAAAACGTATTGTAGTGTTCACGTTCTCTGTACTACATACGCTTCCTGTTAATATAAGGCCAATCTTCCACGTTTATTAGTTTAAAGTTAAATTAGAGTTTAGTTTTATTTTTATACTTTTACGTTAGACCCCAAGTAGCGGGTCAGTGTATTCCGAAGTACGGAAGTTATTGTATATAGAGAAAAATAAAGGGTTTTGTATACCCTTCATGTGTATCCTGTCTACTTACCACAATTAGTGAACATAGCTTTAGTAAGCTCTCTGTTCCGAGTCAGGTCCTTGTTTGTTCCCGAAGAAGGTAAGAAGGAACATTGAACCTGATAAGCTGTCACCAAAACTTCATTACAATAATAAAATAATAGTTGAATGCACATTATATGTATTTATTAAAATTTAATGTTACGCCCCCATCGATAGCGATCAAGCCATTTAAAAACTGTAAGTCTCTTTTCAAATTGGAATGAACATATTGAAATATATTCATTCCAATTTGAAAGGAAAATTGAAATGAACATATAAGAAATATGTTCACTCCAATTCAGACCTGAACCAATTACTTAAATCCAAAGAAGTCGCATTTCAGCTTATAGAATATACGCAAGACGAAAAATTTTAATTAATGCAAAAGAATATAATTGCAATAATAAAATTTAATGCTGTCTATTCTGAAGAATCACGAAACAAAATATTTTGGAAACAAGAAAAAGAAGCTAAATACTGAAATCCATTAAAGGCAAAGAAA